GAAGATTTCAAACTGCAGTACAGGTAACTTCGTTTAGTGACTGTGCAAAGTTACGTCTCCGAAAAAAGTGGCTTGTGGCCATTTGTCATTCCTATGACCATTGTAGCATCTCCATGGTAATGTGATTTACATTTGGATGCTTGGCAACTGATTCATATTTATGACGGTTGCAGTGTCCCAGGATCATGTGATGATCTTTTGCAATTTTCTGACAAGCAAAGTTGATGGGGAAGCCAGATTCACTTAACAAAAGTGTTATTCATTTAACAAACATCAGTAATTCATTTAACAAATATGGCAAGAAAAGTTATAAAATGGAGCAAAACTCACTTAGCAAATTTCTCACTTAGCAACATAAATTCTGGGCCCAATTGTGGTCATAAGCCAAGGACCACCTGTGCACTTTCTACAAGAACATGGAGAATCCAAAACTGTTATTACCTTATAGAGAACCATTAATAGAGGAAAGCGCGGGGGTCCCCTTTGTGGTTCATTTTTTTCTAAGAGTTGTTTGATGAATTTCTCAATGGCCTTTTCAGACATACCACATTGGTGACCTGTCTGTCTCACCAAGTCAATAGTCTCTGAAAGTTTATCGTAAATGCTGAGTTCACTAGTCGAAAGCTCCATGTCCTCTGATGAAAAATCCTATTAGGGAAAATTCAACACAATTAAGAAACTATTCCAATGCCTCAAAGAAGGTGACAGAAGAAGACAGTAGGTTTTTTCCTAGTACGCCGGGGAATCTGGCTGTGCGAGATAGCAAGTCTAGTTCATTCAAACATATAATTAATGGAATCAAGGCTTCAGCATTCTTGGAATAGTCATTTTATCCAACTCAGTAAACCACAAACAGATACTATCAACCAACAATTATGTGTTGTCTTTTGTTTATACTAAACAGAATTGGCAGATCAAGTATTATTGTAACTCTCTAAAGTTTCTGGAGAGGTACTGCAGCTATTTCATACCTATAAATGATAGTTGATAAAGAACAAAGAACAGAAATGGGATGTTGTCTTACTTTATCAAACACAATAAAGAAATAATGAAATGTAGGAGTCAGAATTTCAGAATGCAAAGCTATTTCACTATTGCAAAAGCAAAGGTTAATGTGTTTGCAACTTAACAGACACAGATATGTGCCACAGTATCTCTAGTCAATGAAAACTCAAACCATGAAAATGAAGAAAATGTCTCAATATTATACATAAAATGTTTTCAATAAAGTGCCATTTACTAAAACTCAGTCACTGTTTCTTTTACCATGAGATGCTGCTCTATTTATGGAACTCAGCAATATAATACCAAGAGCAGACCATACTTGCACAACAGAAAATCTGATAACATGTTTTCGGAGAAGAGAAAATATTTAGAACATTAAATCCTTCTTAAAGGACTCTTCAAGGTCCTGGTGTCCAATAACGCCATGCAGTCACCCACTGGAATAAAATAACACTATTTCTATGAATGGAAAAAGACCAAAAGTGTATGGAGATCAACAGGAGGGAACACTATGCTAATATATGCCGCATTATTATTTGAAAATAATGCTTTCATAATTGTTTTAATTTTCTAACCTTCTGTTAACCATATGATGCTGAGTAGATATCTATCCCTAATTGCACCAAGCATTTTTACAAATAATCAGCATCAGCATAATTCCCAGAAAAAGGAAAATGCACAGAGGAGTAGAATTCTACATGCTTTCATTAAGTTCTATTTACTTTTAGGTAAATGTAAAGGTTTCCCTCGCACATATGTGCTAGTTGTTCCTGACTCTAGGGTGGCAGTGCTCGTCTCTGTTTCAAAGCCGAAGAGCCAGCACTGTCAGAAGACGTCTCCATGGTCATCTGGCCGGCATGACTAAACACCAAAGGAACAAGGAACACTGTTACCTTCCCACCAAAGGTGGTCCCTATTTTTCTACATGCATTTTTACATGCTTTCAAACTGCTAGGTTGGCAGAAGCTGGGACAGGTAACGGGAGCTCACCCTGTTATGTGGCCCTAGGGATTCAAACCGCCGTACTGCTGACCTTTCTAATCGACAAGCTCAGCATCTTAGCCACTGAGCCACCGCATCCCTCTATTTACTTTTACAAAATGCATTAATACAATATTTTCTTCGTTTAAGAAATGTGCTATTTATGGG